AATACCAGTACTGATTTTTTTAAAATAAAACACCTTCTCTTGACAAGTGTAGATTGCTACACAGTAATTATGAAAGAATATTTCATGTTTTGCTTCTGGGTTCCTCCTAGGTATCTAGTTAGCCACTGTGGGAACAAAATACAGGACTATTAGGACTTTTTAGACTAATAAAGAATAGGTCTTTTAGCTAATCCTATGATCCTATGATCCCATCAAATACCAGTACTGATTTTTTTTAAATAAAACACCTTCTCTTGACAAGTGTAGATTGCTACACAGTAATTATATTGTGTGGGATTAAATCTGGATAAGGAAAACATATTCTGTGTTGCAATTGTGTTTGTAAAAGCTTCCACTGGTGGCAATGGTAAGTGTTTCTCACTCCCCAAAGAGAATATATAATAGGGAAAATATTTTGGAACGTGTTATATAATCTTGGCTGACTTTGGGCCCATCATTGTCTCTCAATCCAACCTACCGTATTTTTTGACGTATAAGACGTACCGGAATATAACAGCCTAACTTTAGGGGAGGAAAACAGGAAAAAAAGTTTCTGCCTCTGCCTCGGTATTAATCTGGCTAGCGTTCTGCAGCAAACAGCAAATGGCCTGGTCAGCTTCAGCAGCCTGATTCAGCAGGAACAGCTGATTGAACAGCCAGTCAGCTGTTCCAGACTGCAGGGATTCCCACAGACCATGTCCGCCTGTGTGCCTTGCATTTTCAGGTGGTTAAGGGTGGCGGGGATCCTTACTTCCACTTGGATTTTGGTAACAAGCAGGTCTTTTTATCCATTTAAAACAAACCCTATCACCCTACGAAGATTTAACTGGAGTGTGTGGGGTGAGGGATGATTTTCATGGGGCAGAAGAGGGACTTGGCTGCTTGAAGAGGCTGGCCCAGTGCTGGTGGTGCTCGGGATCGGGGAAGCCCTCTTGGAGGGACACCTGCTGCGGGGGCCCAGACCCTTCGCAGGGCTCTAGCATGGCACTTGCTCTCCCCACTAGATCCCCACAAAGGGCGGCATCAAAGGCGGCATGGCAGACCACTTCTTGCCCTGTAGCCTGGGCCGATCTCCATAGCGTTGTTGCCCCCTGCACACTTTCTCTCAGCTTCACTTTGCAAAATCGGTTCCACCTTCCCGTACAAGGGCATTTAACAATGTGTTGGTTAACATCGCCTCCCATAGCCGTTTCCTCCTCCCCTTAAATCCTCTCTCCTCTGCACGAGCCAAACTTTTGTGGCGTAAAACTGAAACCAGGTGCTCTTTTGTGGTGGCGCAGGAGCTCCTTGGGAGAGGAGAGGACAAGCTTGGCGTTTCCTCTTTCCCAACCCTCTTTCCTCTTCCCCCTCCCTTTCCCCAGCCTGCCTGCAATCTTAGCTTGCAGCTTCTTGGTTTTCTTTGCCTTTCTTCCGCCCGCCCCAGTCCGTGAGCTGGAGCACCAAGGAGTTATGGTAAAAAGACATGGAAGCAAGAAGTAAAAAAACAAAACAAATATGGAGTTCCAGCCAGTAGAGGCTTGGCAGTGGGGCTGCCGAGGAACAGGAGGGCGCAAAACCAAGGGGAAGAAGGTGGTGGTTTTCCTCCCAAAGGGGCTCCTTTTCCCCACCCCTTTTCATGGGGGAATATCTTGTCTCTGACGCTGACAGGTGCTCCTTCAAGCCCTCCATGAGCTTTCTTGCCCCCTTCATTTCTCCCCCCCCCCACTTTCATGAGGATTGTGATGCCCTTGGGAAATTGATCATGCTTTGAACCTTAGGAGAGGAGAAGGGAGAAAAAGTGGAACCACCCGAAGAGGCAGGTGAAGTGGGCGCTGCATGAGAGGTGTAAGGGAAAGTGGCTCACTGCTCATCTTCTCCTTTCTCCAAATGACCCAGGCAGCTGAGATCGCCATGCTGCCACACAGAAAGACTTTACCATGATCTCTGCAGTGCCCACTTTACCTGCTCCTTCTTCGACAGCTCCAGGCGTGCTGCCACCCGAAAACACTGTTACCGCAATTTCTGCAGCTCCCGCTTCACCTATCACTTCCCCAGACAACCCAGGTGGCTGAGATCACCGCGCTGCCACTCAAAAAAACTTTACCATGATCTCTGCAGTGCCCACTTCACCTGCCCCTTCTTGGGCAGTTCCAGGCATGCTGCCACCCGAAAAAGCTGTTACCGTGATCTCGGCTGCCTGGAACTTCCCGAGAAGGGGCAGATGAAACGGGCACTGCATGGGAGGTATAAAGCAAGGCAGGTTGCTGCTCGGCCTCCCCCTTCTCCAGGTGACCCAGGCGGAGGGCAGTTGGCTTCTGCTCCTAACCTGGGAGACAGATCTGGCCAGGAGGAAAAAGAAGGTGGAGAAGGAGGAGAGCATGCTCCTTTTCTTCCCTATTCCAAAAATTGGGCATGCGGAATCAGCCTCCGACCGAGGCAGCAAAGGTGCTGGGGCTTGTGGGAACAGGAGATGAATCTGGCCAGGAGGAACACATGTCCCATTTTTGCAATTGGGAAGGGAAAAGGGCATTTCAGGCAGCGGGGATCACAGATCTGTCTCCTGGGCCAGGAACAGAAGCTGACCGGCCTCCGCCTGGGTTTTCTGGAGAAGGGGCAGGCAGAGGGGCGAGCCACCTTGCCTTACGCCTCCTGCACAGTGCCCGCTTCACCTGCCTCTTCTCCAGATGACCCAGGTGGCTACACACAGATTTTCACCCTCTTTTTTTTGGGGGGGGGGGAGAAAGGTATGATTTATACTCCGAAAAATATGGTACTTCACAAGTATTTGTTATGAGATAAAATAAGAGGTGGAAACACTCTTTTCATGGCTGAGAGCTTCTGCACAAGAAGTAAGATTATAAATCTAATAAATAAATATGAATTGGGGAGACACAACAAGGGGAAGTCATTCCTAATACAGTGATTTAGGTTTTTATGACATTGGAAAGTTAAAATGACATGCAAAGTGGATTAGGAAATTTCAATTGGGGAATTAAAGCTTTTTTCTTCAATGTTTTTACTTGTACTTTTCATACATTCAGTGGTGCATGAATTAGTATATTTGTCAGTATTCAGTTTGAGTTTTAAAAACTACCAAAGTATTTTGAAGGCTATAGATAAGTAGTGTCAAATTCACGCCCCGCAGGCCAGATGCTTCACATGCTGGCCACATCCACCCCCATTTTAGGGAATGGGGAGAAGTCGCAATATGTCATGTGACAAGTTAATTAACTTTATCTTAGAAAATCTTCATAAATTTCTTTTAAGATTCCTCATTAGCATAAAGCTGTACAATAAAGCAGCCCTACAAAATATTTTTCAATGTCGTACCTATCATTTATCTATCAAATCTATAGCAGAGTTGGAAGGGACCTTGGAGGTCCTAGTCCAACCCCTGCTCAGGCAGGAAACCCTATGCTATTTCAGAGAATAGTTGTCCAATCTCTTGTTAAAACTTTCACAACTTCTGAAGCATTCACAACTTCTGTTGTTCTAACTGTCAGGAAATTTCTCCTTAGTTCTAGGTTGGCTTCTCTCCTTGATTAGTTTCCATTCATTGCTTCTTGTTCTGCCTTCAAGTGCTTGGAGAATAGCTTGACTCCATCTTCTTTGTGGCAACTCCTTAGATATTGGAATACTGCTGTCATGTCACCCTAGTCCTTTTCATTAAACTCGACATACCCAATTCCAGCAATGGTTTTTTATATGTTTTAGCCTCCAGTTCCCTAATCATCTTGGTTGCTCTTCTTTGCACTTTGCTCTTTTTGTAGAGTCTCAATATCTTTTTTACATTGTGGCGACCAAAACTGTATGCAGTATTCCAAGTGTGGTTGTATATATTATAAGGCAGGGGGTCCCTAACCTGTGGACCGTAGTTCAATCTTGATTTCATCAGACCAGAGTTTCTTGTTCCTCACAATTTGAGAGTCCTTCAGGTGCTTTTTTGCAAACTCCAAGTGTGATTTCATGAGTTTTGCATTGAGGAGAGGCTTCCGTCTAGCCACTCTTCCATAAAGCTGTCAGCTGTCTCTGTCCCATATCCACACAGGATCTCTGGAACTCAGTCAGAGTAACCATCGGCTTCTTGGTCACCTCTTTTACTAGGGCCCTTCTCACCTGATTGTTCAGTTTGACCAGGCAACTAGTTCTTGGAAGAGACCTGGTTGTGCCATCTTTCTTCCATTTGAGAATTATGGAGGCCACTGTGCTCTTAGGAATCTTCAGTGCAGCAGAAATTTTATTGCAGCTTTCCCCGGGTCTGTGCCTTACAATAATCCTTTCTCTGAGCTCTGCAGGCAGTTTCTTTGACCTCATGCCTTTTGCTCTGCTACAGTATGTATTTTCAGCTGTGAGGCCTTCTCTATAGACACGTGTGTGCCTTTCCAAATCATGTCCAATCAATTTAATTTTCCATATGTCAAATCCACTCAAAGTGTAGAAATGTCAGGAATGATCAAGAGAAATGGAAGGCATCTGAGCTAAATTTCATTTTGTTGCAAAGGATCTGTATACTTACGCCAATGTTTCAGATTTTTTCTTTTTAATAAATTTACAGACATTTCTAAAATATTCTTTTTACTTTGTCATTATGAGGTACTTAGAGTTAGATTATTGGGAGGAAACGAATTTTAACAACTGTAGAATCAAGTTGTAGCATAACAAATATAAGAAAAGTGAAGGAAGTCTGAATGCACTATACATCTACATATGGCAGTAAGTAAGTAATGCTTTTTTTCTAAAAAGTTGCTGTTTCTTTATAGGCAATCCTCTATTATCAGCGGGCAGCTCATCAGGGACACCTCTTGGCTCAATACCGCTATGTAAAATGGCTTTTCTGCTGCTGGTATAAAGCAGGTAACAACAGCAAAGTAAACATCTGACCTGGCTACCATTTTAGGGGGAATCCTGGTGAATTATTAGGAAAATTTTGGCATTGTGTTCACTTTTGAAAGTAATTTGGAGCAATTAATGCATGCCATATTTAGGTTATTAAGCAGAATCCTTTTTACCTCTCTTTATGGCTAGCTAGTTACAAAGCATTTTTAGATTTTGTTAGCACAAAAAACCTCTGAACCAGTTCATTTGGAAACCTTAAATTTTGGAGAGGTTGCATTCATTCTTTCATCTGGTTTTGGAATCCTCTAAACCAGATGAAAGAATGAATTACTAGCAAGTAAGTTATAAATCTAAAGAGAGAATAAACATTCTCTTTCATCAGTAGAATGAACACTATTATAGGAGAAAATAGCAGATACTCAGCTTTATTTATTAAATAAATCTAACTGTCAAGCAATCCAGGGCAGCAGTTGATGGATCAGATACCAGTAAAAGGAATAAAAAGCTTGGTTAGATAGAATAGTGGAATGGTCTCTGCTGTTCAATAAATGATCATGGACAGGAAGAATGACTGGAAAATAGGAAAAATCATTTACTGTTTTTTATCATCTCCACTGTGCCCTGTTTGCAATTATAAGCTCATTAGGTAATGAAAGATTGAGGCTCGGATCACACATTCTGATAAACCACCGTGCTATCTGGGCTTCTGGTGTAAACTCTGCCATTAAAGCTTGTTCAGCAACATGTTTACAAGGTTTGAATTTATATGAAGCACAATTTTAATATCTGTGGTCCCTGTGTTCTTTTTCTCAGTTATGCAGAACCAGAATGAATTACCACTGAAAGAAAGAACCTGTCGGTCCAGTCCTTGCCTTCAGAGCCTTGGTCAGCCACTGAGTGTTCACTTGGGACAGCCATCTGTTGCCTTGCTTCGCTCATGGAGTATAGGACATCTGGAAGATATGGCAGATAGTTGTGAACTGCAATCCTATTTGGGGTTACCTGATGAAGTCTCCATCAAACTACAGCCTTTACCCTGCTGTTCAGAAATAGTAGTTGATTAACATAGATCATGAGGAAACTTCCTTTTCAGAAACTTGAAAAACATATAGTTACTTTTTATAAGCTTAGAAGCAGATAGACATTTTGAAGTTATATTTAATTGCCTCATAAATGTATAACTTCTTACCTCGTACTGAGGTAAGAAGTTATTGAATTTTATAACCAAACCCAGCTTGAATGTACTATTTCATCCTACAAGTTTGTGTTCTCACTAACCTCATGAAAGTATGTATTAACATGCTTATATGACAACTTTTTTACAAACTTCAAAAATAGTCACCAAGCTAATTGCCTTCATTAACTGTTTTGGAGAAAATTTGTACTCAGTATTTGAACTGAACATTCTCATTACAATCAGACCATGAAAATGTTACATGAGACAGGAGCTGACGTCGCAACAGTCGATACTTTTGCTGCTGGATGGTCCTTTTGGACCTAAACCGTCCCGAAGAGATGGTGACAAGGAAGAGTACGTCTTGCTGATCTCAGAGACATCACAAAGTCCCTGATTGATCCAAGAGAATCTCTTCTTGCCGGCGACAGAAGCACAGCCAAAAGCTGCTGAAGTTGGGACAGCTCCGCAACGGGAGGAAAGCGGAAAGAGAAAGTGTGTCCATCTGGTGAGGAAATTTTATTGTTATAAAAGAGACTGCCCCCAAAAAATCAAAACTAAATTAAACTTGCAAAGAAAAGAAAATAAGCAGCGAAATTAAATTATATTGGACAGTGTGTTATCCTTTTTTTCATTTTGTTTTATGGATGGAAGTTTTGCAAATATTTCCTACTTTTTAAAGTGAAAG